CGATAGCGAGGCCACGTAGCATGGATCGACTTTGCAAACATCTCCCGAACATACTTGAACACGTACTTGCTGTCGTCCGCTAGCTCCTCGGGCATGAGGTCTCGTTCAGTGTCGTCTGCGTCCGAGTCGTTGGGGAGGGCATCGGCATCCATGCGCTGGTAGTCGGCATCGTCGGGATACAACCGTGTAGCGGTAGGATCGAGACCGAGATCGGAAACGGAGCTGTTGGAGATACGCCAAAGGATCTCGCAGAGGAACCTCCAGTTCTCCACGTAGTTCAACGAACGTGTAACCACCGCACCGGAACGATCCCAGCGGACGAAGCGGATCTGTTTGCCGATGACGACGAACATGAACAGAGCGACGCGCTGCTGGACGGCAAAGATGAACTCGGCGTATGAGATGATCTGCCCGCGAACCTTCCTGCGCGTGTCGGTGGAAGTATTGATGTTCTCCTTGGAGTCGTCGAATGGATCGAGCGCGACACTGTCGCGCTTGAACTCGATAGGGATGATCTGGTCTGCCCAGTGAGGACGACTGTCCGTAGGAGCATCCTTGGCGAGATAGACGGCGGCGTCGACCTTCAATTTGTACTCTGCATCTTCGGGCTCCCAAGCGTCGGGTCTCTCTCCGCATTCCGCGACCTTGAAGCCGGGGATGAGATTGTGCTTATTGATCGCCCGTGTCTGTCATGGCATTACCGTCTTCAGCATGCAACCACGGCACCATTGGAAATCGCGACCACTCACAAATTTTGCGCGAACCTCCGCCTCTTTCATGTTGTCGGCGTCTGCGAGACTCGCAAATGGGTTGGACTTGATCCTGGGCTTTGGGAGGGAGGGAGTCGTAGATGTGGTTGGTGGAGGGAAGAATGCATCGGAGAACTCTTCCTTTTCGGCGAGCACTGCTGCGTGGGCCATGTCGCGTTCGAATCTCACGCGACACTGAGGTAGGTTGTCGCGTCCAAGCTCTCCGCCGAGGGCGTGTGCGTCGCGTACTCTATGGCCGTTGGATAATGGCGTGTCTGATTGGATGTGTGTGGGGTGAGTCATGGTCAAGAAGAGGAAAGAGATGCGGCTCACGGAGAAGGGCCTGAGGCGAGCTTTTATAGCGGCGTGGTTGGGGTACTAGGGTCAGTGCGACTCAGAGGGCAAATCAAGATCGCGTTATCTGAGTTCAGATTCAAATACCAAAGCTGTATAACAATGAGATTGTGCCCCGATGGTGACAAAGGGAGTCAGTGTTGGCGGTTCAAGTTCAAGTTATCTTACCAAATCGGGAAGCGCTACGCTCGGCTGTGCTCTGACTTAGCGCCCTAACCACCGAGCGCTCCGCACGTTCACGCTACTAAGCGAAGTTAGCGAACTGATGATTTGGTTTTTCCTGCGATTAGTACCGGTGCAAAGTGGTGTACGGAGAAGACCAGGCGACATGTACTTGAAGACGTGAATGATTGTTAGACCTCTTGAGCACTGGTATCATATGCCGTGAATGCTGGCCCTCTGGGGCATGTGTAACGGTCAGAGAGTAGTATGACAACTCCACACAACCTGATGGATATAGATGCCTGGGCCCGAGGTTATGGAAGCGAAAATTGAAACACCACTTGGCATGAGTTGGGGAACAAAAAGTGATGCCAGGAGCGTGGATTGAACACGCGACCTCCAGAACTTCAGTCTGTTGCTCTCCCAGCTGAGCTATCCCGGCTCCATGAGGGACCATTCTGGTACCTTATGGGCCCGTTCAGGACACGCTCCCTATCGCGGAATGCTTATCACGACAGACACAAATTTTGCATATAGCTACTAACTCCCAGTGTTTCTATCAGGAAGGGTCCCAGTGCCGCGGAGCATTCTCCCTGAGCGGGGAACGATTTATGCAGGTAAACGTGATATTATTCCGAGCCTTGCTCAGGCCGGATGCTCGTCAGCTTGTCTAATTTGTGATACTACATCCCAGCGCGCCGTCGAGATGCGTGAAAACGATACATGGAGCCCGTGCGTCGGCATCGGCGTAGTTCAGCAGCTCTCCGCGCAACAGCGAGTGGACGATTACGAGCGACTACCCGGGCCAATCCTCCTCTTCGTTCTCTCAGGTCCCGTAGCGTCGACGGAAGGCTCTGACTGCCGTGACGGCGTCCCCTTCCGCGAAATCTGATCCTCGAGCCAATCCGCTTCTGATTCCCACGCCAACGAGAACAAAGCATCTTGCAGGATATCGAGAAAAGGCCTATGGTCCGCGACATCCTTCGCAAGGGCGCGCTCCTCTCTAGTCGGCGGAATGTTGTCGTGGCGGGATGCTTTCCGAAACTGGGGGTTCCTATTATCCTTGGGAAGGATGATTTCGTCCGTAACATGATCCATTGGTGGTGGAGGGGGCAATGGGGGAATGGGGTGGATGCAGATGTTTCCCTGACGCTTGTCGTAATCCAGGACCTTGTAGTGCGCCGCGAACGAACAGGGCAGCTGGTGAACCACCTAGTTGATAGAATCCGCCTGGAACGTCAGCTGTTCTGTAATCACCGTGAGCTTTCCGGTCCGGATCGCGCTTCCCTTTCCCTCGCCGATGTAGTACACGTCGTCGACGATCCTGTAACCATCAAAGATACCCTCTATCCAGGCGGCCGCGCTCAAGCAGTTTGATGTCAGATAGCGGAAAACATAGTAGAGGAGGACGTAGAAGAACGCTTCGAGGTCGTCGATCAATTCCACGGCCTTCGCGGGATCAGTCGACAGCCCGTGAGACATGAATGCTCAAGTGCCCTGTCGTCCCTAGACAGATCAGATCGATATAACAGAGCCAGAATGCACGTTGACGTACCGGTCTCTCTGCCCGGCGCCCCAGGCGTGGTTCGTCGATCTTCTCCGAAAACTCCCAATCAGTCAGCAGTCCGACCCAGCGGAGCACACGCCTGCCCGGGTCCCTGTCCTCGACCTTCGGGTAGAGCAGCAAGTTTCCGGCGCTGATGTCGTGATGAATAGTGTCGAGCCTGTACGCCTCCTGATGAGCTGGGGTGGAACACGTCAGCACATGCGATTAATAGCATGTGCACTTCGATCCGGCGTACCCCGTACACACGTGGCGATAGTTAACGAGTCTTCTCAAAGGGCAGCCACCTTGGTGTCCATCGCCGCTGTCAACGTCAGCGTCACCCTAGACATCGGGGAGACCTGTGGGAGAGGGGATTGAAGGTTCCTCGTCATTGTCCGTGCTCTGAGGTTAGTCGCTTCCAGAAGCGGGAAATAGGGTGGCTAAGGAACTGGCGAGAGGGGGCACACTGTGAGCCGTAAATTGTAATGTAGACGAGGTGCAATTCTCGAGCTCCCAATACTTGGGCGTCATCGTCTCCTGCACTGGTTCGCCAATGTCGCCGTGGCAGAATAGCGTGGGAACATTCTCGACATGATGCCTGTTCAGTTCAGTCAGGATCTCGCCCTCTGGACGTAGACCGTCGTACTTGATCCGCCATACGTCCTTCAGGAAAACAAAGCGGTCCGGGTGACGTCTCCGGGCCGTATCGTACTCGAGAGCGACGAACCCGCGTGTTCAACGACCAGTCAGGCCCTTCGCTACGAATATAGGCCGACAAATGAGGAACAGCCGCTTCTTGTCCCCGTCGGCAACCTCGACTTGGTAGCGAGGATACATGTCAACGAGCGTGTGCCGGAACGCATCGCGGACGTAGCGGAACGTGAACGGCTCCTTGAGCTCATTGTCTTGGAGGAAACGGTCTTTCTCGTCGACATCTCTCGCATGAGCGGCGGCGGCAGACGTCATGCGCTTCCATCGGGCATCCCGTGAATCGAGGCGAACGGCGGTTGGGTCGGCGCCGAGCAGCTCAGGCGCGCAGCGGTGGGCGAAGGAGATGCGCGACAGGACGTCGCAGAACAACGGCCAGTTCTCGAAGTAGTCTACCGCAGTGGAGACGACGGCACCGGAGCGGTCCCAGCGGAGGATACGGAATTTGCGGCCCATGACGACGATCATGAAGAGGAAGAGACGCTGCTGGAACGCGGAAGATAAGCTCGGCACAGTGGACGAGTTGTCTGCGAGTTCGCTTGCGCTTGATTCCGTCCGATTTGATGTCATTCGTGTCATCAAACGGGTCGTGTTGCTTGAACTCGATGGGAACCTCTTGCTTGGCCCATTGAGCTCGCCCATGCGAGTTAGTGAGACTCTGATCGAAGAGCGCGGCGTCGATCTTCTGTGCCTCTTCCTCAATGGCATCGTCCTCATCGATGTTGTCAGCATCCGGAAAGGCTTCACAGTGTGACGCCTTGCAACCGGGGACAAGGTCGTGTTGGCTGATTGCGGCAATGTGTGTGAGCAGTCAGGGGCGTCATCAGCAGGGGAGACGGCATAGCTGACCAAAGCATTGGAGACGTCGGTCTCTTTCATGTTATGTGCATCCACAAGTGCGCCGAAGGGATTCGCAAACAGCTCGTGTTGTTCGATGTGAGCAAAACGGGGATCGTCAGATTTGGGGAGGAGGATATCGCGGAACTCCTCAACTCGGAATAAGACGAATTCTTTTTCCATGCCGTCAATGATCTAGGACACTGAGCTATGAGGTTGAAGCTTCAGCCGAGGCAGGACACTAGTCAAATGAGTTCGAACGGCGAAGTCCACATAGTGTAGTGGCAAGAAGTAGGAAAAGGGGCGGGCGATAACGTACCTGCGACGAGAACGGTAGTTATTTTGTCTCCGCAATGGCTACGATTTCGTGGCAGCTAATGGACTGGGAGCGATATGGTGGCAATGGAGAAATGCGCAGACGGTTGTCCCAGCTGAAAACCCTTCGGAAACTCCCGTCGCTGGCTTTCGCATATCGGCCACGTAGATCTCACTCGAGATGATGTCATGGCTGTCGAGTGGAACCTGCCAAGTTAGGCGCTCGAGCGAGCCAAACCTACAAAACACGGCTCGTCGCCCTCCTCCACCACAGATCACGACTCGCAACCCCTG